ACCCATAGGAACAGGGAGGATGGATGGTGACCTTGTGACCCACCACTCAGTCCTGTTTAATCCCCCCAGCCACGCTGTGCAGACGCAGGAGGGTCCCTTGATGTGTGTCTTCGGGAGAGTGAGGCTGAAAAAGTGCTTAAATGCTTGTAACTGTCACAGAAATACAAAGCAAGCGAAATGAATGTTGGGTTTTCAATAGCTCATGTTCCCCTGGATTCACTTGGCTTGCAGACTCAGTCAGCAGATATTTATTCCTATCTTAACATTCACTGTGTTGACAGTAATTTTGTTAGGGACAAAATATTACAATCAGAACCAGAGTTTCCAGTAAAAGGATGTGTTTTATTTGCTGCCCTACCCCCATCCACTATCTTTGCCTTTCACCACCTTGTTCTACACGAAGCAGAATGATTTGAATGAATCATGCAGAGGGAAGGTAATTTCAGTGCCTGATACTGGGATAGCACTGTGCAAAATGGCATGTTAGCCTGGTTAATAGATTATTTATTTTCATTAAATATTGATTATCAGTGGCTTATGCTGGCAGGCACTTTCCTGTTTACTGCACAAGCAGCTCAATGCCTCCATTCTGTTATGGGAGAGGGGTTTTTTTTTTTAAGTTAACTGTTCAGTCTCATGAATTTTCATGTTTTGGCACTGACTGACATCTGCATAGTAATTCTGCCAGTGAGTTATGTGTGCATTTCACTAATGCAGTTTTAGAACTAATATATTCAAAAATCCCTGGAGCGGACGAGGATGTTTTAACCCAGGGCCCTGCCCTCACTTCACCAGGGAGGTTGCCTCAAAAAGCACATATTTTATGGAGGTTTCCTGAATTCTGTGACCCAACACACTATTCCTCAGCCTGAGAGCTGGACATTGCATGAGCTGCCTGACTGGCATCTTAGGAACAAAGATTTAGATGATGTACAGACAGAGATGTACAAAAGAAGATGTAACAGCAGAGAAAATCTTCATTTCAGCAGAATTCATTCACTCAAAATTAAGTAGCACAATGACACATAAATGGTGAATTTCTGAGCACTTTTGTACTGTGTGTCCAGTGTTTGGTTTGTGTTTGCACCAGTGGCAGAACAAGCCACAGTTATAAGGTAAAACTGATCAAATCTCTGCATTGTGAAAGAAATAAATTCAGAATAAACTGTGAGGGTTTTTTTTTTTTCTTTTTCCGGAATTAAATGATCCAAAGCAGCACTGCAGGTCTGCCTTTGCAAAAAGGAGAATAAGGACTTTTCAAGTCGCAGTAACACAGGACAAATCATCAATTTTCAAAAAGAATTCCAGTCACTTACTGTTGCTCCTTATCTGTTGCATTCCCTTGCAGCTAGAACTAATCCAAATTCAGAATTCCCATTGCAAAAATCAGAAGGAAATGTCGAAAATGTATCTCACACCAAAACAAAATTAGACATAGGAATGCTCAAAAGCTTTTCATGGAGATACTGTGTTTGAAATATTGCATTCCAGGAACCTCAAAGCACTTGAAAAGGTCAGGACAATTCCTGGTGATGTTATCAGCTCTAAACTACTTTGAAAAACCCAAAGTATAGTGGAGAAATGTTGGCATCTTGACCTTATGGAGACAAAACATTATGGGAGCTTTTCATAAAAAAGTATTGATGTGTGTTATAGATTTCCAACAAATCATTTCAGGGTGATCAAATAAGAAACTTTTTTTTTTTTTTTGTCAGGAAATGCTTGACTAGTCCCAGCTCCATCTGTTCAAGGAAATAACTTCCACAGAAAATATTGCTTCCTCAAAATGGCTTCGGCAGTTTCTTATCCTTTAACTTGGGAAGTCTCAGGGATGTTTGTCAAATTCCACCCGTGGACTGTGATGAAATAATACCACAGACACAGGGGATGATGTGCTGCAGATATAATAAGGTGAATGTAACTTGTTTTTAAAATGTCAGGATGGCATTTTGGGAAAATCTGAGCTCTCCTTTCATTTCCAGTTAAAATCTGCAACAGTGATTTCTGCTTGCACAGGGCTAAAAGCAAACGAGCTCGTTGTAGGGCAGCACAATGATAGTTATTATGAGATTAGAATATAACAATAATCCACTTAAATTATTAACAGCAGGCTGGTACTTCAAAGTGACCTTTGACTCTTATCTTCCTAAGAAATAATTACAATACCATTGTCATTAAAAAGGAAAAGAATTTCAATGAAAGCTTATAGAAAAGGTTGCAGACAATTTTGAATATAGATAAACATGGATATAATAAAGCATATCCTGGTAGTGAGGGCTAATGGTCAATAGAAATGAGCTGAAAGAAGGACTCTGTCAAAACAACCAGAGCACACATTAGCATATTAAAAAAGTGGTAAACAAGTTTTTTTCTAGCGATAGCATTGAGTTGAAAACCTGAACAATGAGATTTTCTGGCACATTCTTGGAACATATTGCACACGTGGGAATTAAAATGCATTTTGTCTTTGAACCACGGCATTTGTAAGGGATTTATGTTGTTCAAAGTGAAAATGTAAGTGGACACTAATATCCTAATTCATCAAAGAATAAGCACAGGCTTAAATCCACCTTTACTTAGCAAAGCTCTTAGGAATGTGTTTACCTGCAGGAATATGCCAGTGACTAATGAAACCAGCAGCGTGTGTTTAGGTACTGGAAGGGATTAGAAGAACAGTCTAAACTTGTTGAAAAGACATCTAAAGTGGCTCTGTAATTTCTTTCCTGCTACAAATGTCTTTGAAACCAAAATAAGCCTCTCTGTTTTTTTTTTTTTTTAATAATCCTGAGTTTAGAACATACTTGATGCTTCCAGCATTAGTAGTTTTATGGTGCTTAAGACAGTGAAACACGTCTCTGCACTGAACACACGCTTCCATAAGAGATGAAGCAGGCTGGGGGGCTGAACTTTTCTAGCTTTGGACCAGCAATGAAAACTAACACGTGGCACCGTGGAATTGGCACTGCCACTGTTTTTGGGGCTCTACAATATATTCAACAAAGGTACATTTTTGTTATTGGGGGTTTTGTCCTATGCAACTTGTGTGTTGATTTCATAGAATCATGGAATGCTTGGGTTGGAAGAGACCTTAAAGATCATCTCATGCAGGGACACCTTCCACTAGCCAAGGTTGCTCCAAGCCCCGTCCAACCTGGCCTTGGACACTTCCAGGGATGGGGCAGCCACAGCTTCTCTGGGCACCCTGTGCCAGGGCCTCTCCACCCTCACAGGGAACAATTTCTTCCTAATATCCAATCTAACCCAATTCTCTGTCAGTTTGAAGCCATTCCCCCTTGTCCTATCCCTCTAGGCCCTTGGAAATAGGCCCTCTCCATCTTTGTTGTAGCTCCTTCAGGTCCTGGAAGGCCACGGTTAGGTCACTCTGAAACTTCTTTCTCCAGGCTGATCAATCCCAATTGTCTCAGCCTTTCCTCCCAGCAGAGCTGCTCCATCCCTCTCATCACCTTGGTGGCCTTAAGATCATATTACCCAACAGACAGATTTGCCTCAGAATATTCTAATTTCTGGTGTATTTTCGTTCATGGGTGTGGAAGGTTCCACATGGCTGAAGCTGTTCCATTTTATGCATTCTGTACAACAGCTCAGTGAAAAGCAACAGGAAGTGTAAAATACCAAAGTAAGGACTGCAGGCTTTTCTCCTTTATCCTGAGTGAATTAGCCCTTCAGCTGGAGAGTCCTACACTCCGTAATCCACTCCATCAATTAATATTTCGCAAAGCCTTGCAAAATAATCACCTCTTCAAGCAAGAACTGAGAGCACCACACTGTTACTGCAGCACAGCAACCACCACTATTTCTGGCTGCTCCTAAATCGGAGGAGCTACATATTTAAACCAGGAAGGGGCCAGTTTTATCAGAGGTGACTCTTGTGGTCACTGAACAACTAAATAAACATGGGCATCACTTCCCCGTGGCCCTGTGCTCCTTGTGTGCTCCATGGTGCTTTTCTGCTCTGCTTTCCTCCTCACTGCCCTGTTTATAATTTCCATGGCAGGATAATTCCCAAAGTCAAAGTCATCCATCTAGCTGACCTCCTCGGAGGGCCTATATTTGTGATGCTATTAAAAGATGTTATGAAGAGACGAGCAGTCCCTCTTTCCAGGACATAGTATTTATAGCATGCCACTAACAGGTAACCCATGTAGAGTCACCAGAGCCCCTCTCTGCTGGATTGCTGGTGTACTTGGCAATATTTGCACGTTCCTGGAAAAGGAGAACTTGGGAGCTGCAGAAGGCAACCCCAGGGCCCAGTGCCAGCCAAAGTCAGCCCTCACTGCAACTGCACATTGCCTAGAAAACAGGCTGGTGTGGCATTCCCATGACACGAGGCACGGCCACGGGGCAGCAGCTCAGGTTGCCTGTCTTCAGGAGTGGATTCTGGAGAGTCTTGGCAGAATTTCAAGCAGGGTTTCTGGGAAACCCGCTTTCCTGGGGAAAACCAGGGGTCTGAGTCACGGTGGGGCAGGTCGGGTTATTCTGTGCTGAGCCACCTGCAGCTGGAGGGGACATCCCTGGGCAGTGGGGTGTGGGTGCAGGAGGGCGGGCGGGCGCTGCCACAGCGCTTCCCACAGCCCGGGGCGCTCCCGGGCGGTGCGGGGTGGATGCGGGGTGGATGCGGGGTGGATGCGGGGTGTGCTCAGCGCTGGTGCGGTGCGGTGCGCTCCGAGGGGACGGGCGGGGCGGAGCGGAGCGCTCCGGGGTGGAGCAGTGCGGGGCACTCCAGAGGCGGTGCGGGGCGCTCCGCTGAGCGGTGTGAAGCGGTGCGGTCGCTCCGGGGGTGGAGCGGTGCGGAGCGCTCCGAGGGGCGTGCGGGGCGGGGCGGGTCGCTCCAGGGCTGGTGCGGGGCTCTCTAGGAAGGGGTGCGGGCCGGTGCGGGTCACTCCGGCGTTGGTGCGGGTTTGTCCGGGGGGCGGTGCGGGGCGGTGCGGGGCGGTGCGAAGCTCCCCGGGAGGCGGTGCGGTGCTCGGGGGGCGGTGCGGGGCGCGGCTCCGGCGGCTGCTCTCGCCATGCGGGCGAGCTGAGGGGCTGAGCGGCGCGGCCGCCGCTGTCCCGGGGAAGGATGGCCTCCAATTTCAACGACATCGTGAAGCAGGGCTATGTCCGCATCCGGAGCCGGCGGCTCGGGGTGAGTGCCGCCACCTGCCTCGGGGCTTTGCGTGTGGTTCTTTTATTTTATTTTATTTATTTATTTTTTTTTTATCCCCTGCCACTCCTTTGTCCTCCTTTTGCAAACTGAGCTCAGCGCGGAGAGAGGAAACAAAAAGATCGGGGTGGGTGGGTGGGTGGGGAGAATAAAGGCACCTAAATGTATCATAATATATAATGTAGATTATTTATATGTAGATATATATATTTTTCCCCCTCTCTCCCGTCGGGAGTCGGGGATGCTGCCTGCCCGCAAGGCTGGGCTGCGCTGCCTCCGCCTCCCGGCGCTCCCTTCGCTCCGAGCGCCCCGGGCTGCGGGGGCCGTGCGGGGCTGGGGGTGCCCGGGGGGCACACGGGGCTGGGGTGGCTGTGCCGCCGGGACTGAGGGTGCGAGGCAGCTCTGGGCAGGGGTGAGGGCTCAGAGCTGCTCAGGTGCTGCTGCTCCTGCTGCAAATTAGGGCTTTAAGGTCTTGCGTGAGGCAGGTGAAGACCTTGCGATGTCTTCAAGGCTTTTAAGTTCGTTCGAGTTGCGCAAAATGGAAATCCACAAAGCCCGCTTTAGCTCCGTATTTAATTTTAAACTTATTTTGAAGGTTGTTCTTTGATTTTCACGGCGTGTCCCTAGTTTGGGTTGTAGGTAGTGGATATGTCGGTAGTGGCAGGGCAGTTCCCCACTGTATCTGAGATGGGATGTGCTCTGAAATCCTGCTCTGTTCCTCCGGTCCATGAGCTGCTGCTCCCTGAGCGAGCTACCGGAGCCGCTCAGGTGATGGGACTGGCTCCACACCTCCTGTCTCCCTTCGGGAGCCAGAGGGGCTTAAGAGGATGCACCTGGAGGGAAGTTTTGTGTATGCAAAAATCTTTTAATTAGTATATCTGCCTCTGAGAACTGGAAAGGAATTAATTTCTTGTGTTTGCTGAGAAGTGATGGGTTGGCAGTTCTGAATTGTCAGTAGTGTGAGTTTTGCATCAGGGTTTGTTACGGAGAAGTGTGTCATCCTCTGAAAGCTTTTGCTGGCTCATTGCAATTACAGTTCCATTCTCTTGCTGTATCCACGGTCAGTGACTTCTCTGCAGTTTTGCTAACTTGTGTCTCCCTGGCTTTTTTTGAAACAGGAAGGCATTTAAAAGTATCCCATCAGGCTGGTTTTCTCATATGTGGACTTGCAGGCACAGTTCATTCTGTAGGAACTGTGTGATTCTGTGGCAGATGGAGGACAAGTCATTAGGAGAGGACTTGTAGTAAATTTGGCAGAATTAGTGTATCATGATTACCTTTTCATTACTGGATATATATCAGTGTTCAGTTTGCTCCAGCATAAACGATGAGTAAGATTAAACTATGATACATCTTTCCATACTGTAACAGAGAAACTCAATGGACATGTGAATAAGGTGCATCAAACTCAGAGACAGTTGTAAATTCTGTTAATGTCTGTGCCTTTCCTTTTCTAAGGCTTTTCAGACCACTCTGAGGGTGGAGGTGGTTCAATGCCCTCTCAGTAGATGTGCATGTGACAGCTGAACACAAAAATAGGGGAGAAATGGATAATGACAGAGAGTGCATGGAAATGGAACAAATGTTAAATGTTTTCTTTGAAAAGACAATTTCTTTATTTCATCTCTTTCCTTCTAATTCCAAAGGTCTGTGTCATTATCAGTGGCTGGAAAGTGCAAAAGGCGTGATGAAAAGTGGTTTTGTGAAGGAATCCAAGAGAAATCCCGGAGAGTTCCTTTGACTGTGGATGTGTTAAAATGAAGAGCCCTGAGCTGCTGCCCTTGGCTCTGGGTGTTGTGTCCTGACAGCTTTCCCGTGCTGTGGAGGGCCTTAGGAGGGCAGGTGGTTGGTGCTGTCACTGCTTTAGATCTGGTACGGGATGCCTGTGCTATGAGGGAGCGGTGACCTGTTCCAATCCTGCTCCATTTCTTTGGAAATACATTGTTGGATAATGCTTTTCTCTCCTGGTAGTTTCCAGCCTGGGGTGTTGGCCCATGACTCAAGAACAGACAGTTGAAATGTGGGTGCAGATTTCTTCCTATAACATTTTCTGTGAGCTGCTTAAAAGCCCAGTGCCCTGATTTACAATGCCCAGTTAGAAATGGGGAGTTGTGATTAACCCAAGAAAAATAGTTCAGACATTAAAATACTAACTTTCAAAAAACTTCCCCATGCTGTGAAAACATTAGGAAGAACAATCTGCTCCAGCCTCATGCAGGACTTGTGTTTAATTGAGAAGGATTTCAGTACACCATGTGTGGTGAGGTGTAAGTGGGAGTTGTTAAAATACATTCCCATTTTGTGGTGGCAGAGCTGTAATCAGTGCATTGTCTGTTCAGACTGAATCCAGCTCTGGGTTAGTCTCTGTAATACTGTGTAATTCCATCACCAAGGGAACTGGGAGCAGAGCTTGTGTCTGGAAATTATCTCAAGAAAATGACTTTTCTGAATAACTGGGGTGCAGGTGCTTCATTTGGAAAGGAAGGGGTGCCGAGAAGCAGCTTGTTCAAATCCAAAGCTCTTTTAAAAGAAACATGACAATTCTGGCAGGCCCTACTTTGTAATTTCAAGATTGAAATTAGGCTAATTAGTTTTGTACCTGAACTCTTTCTGCGCATTTTAAATATGTAAATTTAATTTAATATTATTTAATAGAATAGTTTCCATAGCAACATTTGTATCACATGTGTCTTCTGCAGAGCCAAATATATTCAGGAGAAAGCTCACTCTTTCTGATTCTTTCCATCCTTATAGGGAGAAAAATAATTCCCTCAGCCAATGGTCTCTGTGTGTTATGTCATTAGCAGTGACACAGAGGAGGTTGTGTGCTGGAAAACTGCTGACAGTGGAAAAGCACAACCTTCCAGAGTTCTTTAAAACAGAAAAAATCAGCTTTGCTTTGTGAGAAGTGCTTCTGTCAGTGACCAGCAGCCACTGGACCTGTGTTTTGGGAAAGAAGACACTTGTGCTTTTGCAGTCACATCTCAGCTGATTAAGTGCTTTATATCTATATATGAAGCAGGGGCTTTGTTTTGTGGCTTCTGGATCTAAAAAGGCTTTTTTTTTTAGCTTATGATTTTCAGATCATGTCTCTCTGTGGTACAGATGTGACCTTCCTGAGAGGGAGTAAGTTATGGAGATGTTTCCTTAATGAAAAAAGTAGTTCTTGTCTTTCCATTTTTAGGGTGGGTGGATGTGCACTGCTTGTTAACATGCTTGAGCTTTCATTTTAGGTTGGACTGGCTCAACAAAGTGTACAAATAACAATTAAAAATCGAAAGAGGAACAAATCTGTGAAACAGATGCTCTTTATAACACTGGTGAGCCTGAAGAGCTTTACAAGGAAAAATGCACTTGATAGTCTTCATTGAGATGCCACCAGCCCACCTCCCTCATGGGCTGGGAGGGTCCCACTGGTGTGTGCTGGTTCCAGTCTCACACTTTTACTGAACTCCCTGTTGTTAAGGCTTAGTTTTATTCCTGTGTCCACACCTAAACTCAGCTTTGCTGGAAGCCACCTGTCAACTGGAGCAAGACTGTGGAGCACAGAAACTGCTCTGCTCTGCTGCTGTTATTGAGGTGTGGGCAGGAGGAGGTGCTGGAGGCTCCAAGGGATGGCAGGTGACATTCCCAAAGCCCCTTCCTCGGGATGCAGGCAGCACTGCTGGGATGGTGGTGTGGCACCAGGAGGGTGCTGGCTGTTCTGTGTGCAGGGCATTTGAAGATGGTGCCATTCCCCTTGGAAGACCCTGTGGAGTTTGCAAGCATTTGTCCTGTCCCTGCCTCTTGATGTATGGGGCGCTGCTGGAGCAAGATGCCGTGGGCTTGGCTGTCAGCTCCGAGTTTCTGGAATGCCAGCAGCACACCCTGAGTGTCTCATTGCATTAAGTGATGAGGTTCTGTTGGTGTCAGAGGGAAACAATCTCCTGGAGGAGCAGCAACTGCCCTGAGCTGTGTCTGCAGCTGAGAGCAAAATAGTGCTGATCAAACAGAAGGGCCTCAGAACCAGCTGAGATGGGCTGGTGGCCAGCAGAGATGTCTCTGTTAAGGACTTGTTCATGTTCACAGCTATGCCAAGCCTTGTAGAGTCTGGTTTGGCTCTGCACAATTCTCAACTGACTAGAAAATATTGGCTTCCAGAAACATTCTCTCTGACTTGCTTGGAAAGTAGGTGTCTTTATAGAGTTTGGCTGTGGTGACGTACGTGTTGCTGCTTTCCAGGTGGGAGAGAGCACCTTTCTGAGCATTCCTTAAGACAAGACCAATGGGACAGTATTTTTTTCTCCCAAGCTTGCATGCAAGTATTTCCATTGTATCCCCATTTCTCAGAGACCATCACTTTTAAACCCATCAGTACAACCAGTTTATCAGAATGTGATCTCTGTTCTGTGTGCTGTGGTGTTTGAGCTGACGTGGTACAAGGTGGCTCAAAGCTCTGTGTGTGCACTGAGTTACTGAACAATCTGCCAGAAGAAATCCCACTGCAAGGATGGGCAGCATCTTTTAAATTTTTGAGGTTTAAAAATAGTTGTGGAGCCATCTACAGTAGTTTGTGCTCTTGTGCTCTTCCCTCTTGTCACAAACTTCTCAGTGCTGAAGCAATGTTTATCTATCTTGCTAATAACTCTTAAAATATCTTTATTCTGGAAGGCTTTTGATATATTCTGGAAGACTTTTCATATAAGAGGTCCCATATAAATCCAGGTTGAAATAAGGAATGAATTACGGTTAAAAATTTGAATGTGCAGTTGTTAGTATATATATTTCTTTATAAAACAAAACAAGTGCAACAGTTGTGATGCTTTCTGCCCTTCTCTTTAACACTGAAACTATTTCTGCTCCCTGGCTATTTTTAACACGTTTCTTCAGCTTGTCTTTCTCTTCGTTTCATGGTGGAATTGCAAGAATTGGGGCTGTAAAACAACTTTGGCTCTCACAGATGTAGCAGGAGCCTTCCCAAGCCTCACAGGTCTATAAAAGCA